GGGCAAAAGAGCTTGATTGTTCTTGATTTGAGACGAGTTTAAATATTTGAAAAAGAGTCAGTTGAAGTGATTGAGAGTGTTACCATTTTGCATGGAAGGCATCAGAAGTTTCACCTGGAACAGGGTCTCTCAAGACTTCTAGAATCTTAAAGGGAGAATCCAGTAGTAAAGTAATGAGCTAATTTTGAAATCTCTTCTAATGTAAATTATTCCAGTGTTTTCCTTTAATTCATTTATGTCATAGATTATATTAATACTGAAAAATGTAGTTTCTTCTGGGCATTGCTTTTATACCAGGTGTCCTGTACAACTAAGCCATGATTTCCCCCTAAGGAAGCAAGTTTGTGCTTATTCAGCCTCATAGATATCTAGTTATATTCATAGATGTACCTCAGATGCTTCAGTATAATTCTATTGCATATTGTTAAACCTCAGGGACAGTTTTGTTCTAGTTGGAATAATTATTTCATGTTATCAGTGAAAATATGCTATTGTTCTTGTCTATGACATGCTCCTACTGCACAATTCATAGTGCTGCTTACATAGTCAAAAATTAAGACTTGCAAGCAATGTAATACTCCACAGTGCATGCAATTAAAAAAATGTCATAAGGAAAAGTGCAAGCCTATCGCCGGAGGCTTCTGTCCATGTTGTGGCTGTAACTGCTGGCTCATTTTTTCAGTGCTTGCCTCGTAGTCCAGAAATCAGACATTCCAGCTAAGGCAAGCATTGGTTTTGATAACAGTATAGTGTGTCCTGTAATTTACTGTGGAGTGTGATTGCTTGACAGCAATATAATTGCTAGGATGGAGCATACATCCACAGAGATTCAAGATATCCATATGTTTGCAGCTGTAGTTTTCAACAGGGGCTGGCATTTAGGGCTGGAGGGGAGCTACTGCTTACTTCAGATATTCTTGCAGTTTTGGTTTGACTGAAAAAGTTTGCCAGCAGTTACTCCAGTGATTATGAGATAGCTACAGAGATCACCAGATCCTCTCAACACTTCTCTTTTATTTCCTTTTTAAAAAGAAAGAGGTGAGCAGTCTGTCTTCTGCATATTTCAGCAGTGCCCAGTTCAGACATGGTACTTTTTCACAGCCTTGGTTGGAAAGTGAGGCAAACACGCTGCTTACTCAGTGCTTTGTGCAATTAAAATGGGATGGTTGTAGGAACAGCCTTTGGGAGTAAGGGCATCTATGTTTGACACTGCTTCTTTAACTTAATTTTCAAAACAAAATTTTAATTAACTGGAGAGAGGAATTCCGTTGAGAGCTCTGGACTAAGAGTAAAAATGAAACTTCAGGTCTGCTGCTGATACATTTCAGTAGAGTGATTGTGCTTGGTCATTCTTAGATTCTGCTGTGAGTAGAGCTCCCCAACATATTCTTCTTCAAATGGACTTTGATCCTTTGATCTATACTGTAAAATAAAGGTGCTCAATCTGAAGCTCAGAGCTACAGGCAGCTCCCGGAGTCTTGGTTGCAATACACAGAGCTTCTCCAAAACTCAGATTGTATCTTAAGAGAGAATAGCTGTATTTAATGTATCCGATTATTTAAATTTAATTAAGCAATCTTAAATTAAATCTTTGTTTTAGTCTTGCTTGTGTGTATGCTACTCATCAGCCAACCTCAGTCACCAAAAAAGTTGGACATCCTGGTTTGGGGTTTCAAGGGATCAATCAGTTGTACTATTTCATCTTTAACACTTGCACACTACTATGCACGAGAATTGCCAGATTCAGAACAAGACAGATATTTTATTAAAGTAGAATCTTGATAGGTGCAGTCTAAAACTTCTGGATAATACAAGGATGAGGGAGACTGTTTTGGAGTCTTTAGTTTGTAGTATGATATATCAAGGTTTGCACATGTATATTATTAAAAGGTGGTACTCTTTGTAGTTAATTTAATTTCCACTGACATACTGGAGACACAGCCTGTCAAATTGGTAGAAGTAGAAGAATGTAGATGAGGGAGGGGCTGTACTTGCTTCATCAGATATTTAAGATTAAGGAAATCGTAGTACAAATTGCATGAATATTCTCATTCCCTCAACAGCTTTAATTATTGCAGCTAGTTTTAAACAGCTGAACTGAAAGTCACTAAAAATGGGTGATGTGTCAATATCAGCCAAATAAAATTAACAAAAGAAGTTGTCTTTGTTCTTTATACAACTTGTTGGCCCTCCTGGAAATTATCATCAGATCATTGACAGAGGCTTGGGGACAGCCTAGTCCTTTCACAGGTAAAATATAAGCAGTAATCTTGTTGCTTGGCTAGTCTGAGAGGTTCTTCTACAAGTCCTGCAAAAGGGAAGGGAAGGGAAGGAACAGATATGTTTCGGTTGTGGTTTACTCCCTCAGGGCACTCTAAATATGGTATTGATTCTCTTGGCCACGGTTTGAATTGTTTCCTCCCACACAGAGGTTTTTCTTTTTACAGGGCTAAAAAACTTTAAGATAATAAATGCTGACCCTTGGTGGCCCCTGTATGCTTCCATTGAAAAGAAAAATAAAAATTTGGACATTTTCCTTGATGCAATAGAGGGCTCCGTTCTATTTTTCAGTTGATAAATGTGGATGCTTTGGTTGCTGACTGAAGAGTAACTGCACATTAGATGCAGCCTGAGACCTGTTCATTTCTGTTCCTCGAAAAAATAAAAGTGGGGTTAGCAGAATTCCCTGTAGCTGCCCACCCAAAGAGAAGAGAGTAGTTACAGTTCCTGCGTTTTTTTCCCATTGTAGATTCTGGGGGAAAGGACTGAAACCTTTCCATATATTTTAAAGTTTAAAAACAGGCAAATCTATCTATATGTGCTCCTCCAGTCTGGTAGGGATACTGACACATTCTGGAATGCTCCCTGATAAAGCTTGTATTATGTTCTTGCTGCCTAATTCACAGAATTTTGCAAAGGGCCTAAAGAGGTTTTGACCCACTGTTCATGAGCCCATGTATTTTCAGTGCCACATCGATACTTCATAACTGCAAAAAAATCAGAAATGAGTGAGATGGATGGATGGATGGATGGATGGATGGATGGATGGATGGATGGATGGATGGCCGGCCAGTCGGCCGGCCAGTTGGCCGGCCTAGATGGGTTTGAAGTGGAGGGTGCCCTCATTTGTCACTTTTCAGTAATAAATGATTGCATAGCTATTTTGTGTCTACAAAACAAGGCCTTTCTCTTCTCCCAAGAGTTCTTTTGGACTGTGAAAAATCAGAGGTGGGCTGGAAACAAATGTAGAATTTTCCTGGGCTGGGCATGAAATGGACTAGAAAAAGTTGAAACCAAAATAATTTGGAAATGAAGTTATATTACATTGTCCTTGGGCTGTAGACACACTGGAGTAATAATAATTCCTAAGCACAGAATGAGAGCTGAAATGGGTTCAAAATATCTAGAGACGAAAGATGAGGTTGTTGTGAGTGACCAGGATTTTTAGTTTGTAGAAGTAGAGCCATAAACTTGAAGCCCTAGGAAAATCTCTGTGTGGAAGTTTGGAATTGGGATTGGGGGAATCAAATGTATGGCAAGCAGAAATCTTAAATGATGCTACCTTGGTGTGGATGTCTTTAACAGAAGAAGGGGACAGCTGCTCAACCTTTTTGAAAAATGTATCTTTTTAGACGACAAAATACACTATTCTGGATGTATAGTGTTGAGTGAAACTCATTGTATGTAATGAAAACTAAATGTTGCTAGAATAAATTCTAGCTCTTACACTTAAAGCTGTAAAATTGTAATTGCCTAATGCATCTCTGATAACCTGACCAGTCAGTTGCATCTGTGTGTGGGAGGGTGTTTCCTTATTTTTCTTGCTAGTATGTCCATTAAAAATATTATATGCTGGTCCCACATATGTGTATTACTAATATGTGGTCCAAAAGCAGTGTGAGGGATGATCAATATTTCTGAATGTTGTTCATCCTGGTTTCCAAGCCTGCCTTCATAACTCTGTATGGCCATTCTCTTTGTTGGCTAAGAGCTACCATCCTCTGCAGACCTGTTTCTCACCCTGGCCGGGATGTGGTCTTCTGTATGCAGGGATTTCAGAGAGACTTGTCACATTTTCTCCAGTCCTGGTCATCAGTTCTCTCTTTCTTTTGAATGCCTTTTATGCAGATGAAGATCAGATATATTGCAAACATATTTTAGAGCTTTTTAATAGGATTTTATTTAAAATATAAATACTTCAGGATATGTGAAAATGTTAA